ATTCGTTTAGAATCAATGGAACTTCGATAACTCATTCGTTTATTATATGTATCGCTTTCGTCACCCTACTTCACGCGGTATCAAAGTTCCGTTGATTCCAAAGAAATATCGTAGCACGATCACCTTCAAATTTCTATTGATTACTAAGAATTCCAAAAATCTAGGCATAAAAAGTTCTTTAATTCATGTCGATTATAGAGAATTTGAATTCGTTGATCTTAGTTATCAATACCGATCATTTAAAAAATTGAAGAAGATCTCAACAATTAATAATTTATTTCAATTCAAAAGATAGTTAAAAAATATAGATAAAAACTCCTAAAAGCCCCTAATTGTAAATGAAATATAAAAATATAGATAAAACAGCGTAAATTAAATTGAAGCCAACCATACATTTAATCTTCATCACTTTCTAATTTCAACTTGGAACCATTTGACACTATGACTTGTAGGAATAATCTCTAGCAAAGTGGAGTCAAACCTAGAAGGGACAAAGTTAAAATTGTGGTGTCAAACATTTAAGTTAATATGATTTCTCATGTTCTCACTCAAAACCATCGGATCTCTCCTGAGCCTCTTATAAACACCAGTTGCATAAGAACATTCTAAGGCATGCTTGGAAGTTAAGTACCATTAAATGGGAAGATCGCACAAAAATAATAATAGAACACGAAAAATATAGCTTCAAGAAAGAGAGTAAGAGTACCTTATGAAGTTGAGTGATGAAAATGGTTCTTCCATTTTTCCTTTTGGCTTGTGCCTTCTAAAATTGGGGAATGAACCTGATTTGTGCTTTATAAGCTCACCCAGACCAAAAACTGCAACTAAGGTTGGAGACTTAGTTTGTGCTTTGCACTTTTCTAGAACTCTAATTTGAGATGAAGAGCATAATTCAGCACTTTGTGATTGCAGCGAAGGTTGGAAACTGAAGCAAAAAAAATAAAGGTGTAAAACCTAAACATAATCCCCCGAATAAGAAGAACATTATTACAATCATAATTATAAATTAATAATGTGAAAGCAGCACTCCCATCACAAAAGAAAGAGAAAAGGAAGAACTCCTAATTGAATGTGATGGGGGCATAAATCATCTCATTAAATCGAACAAGAAATTAAAAAAAAATGCAAAATGAGGCCCTTAATTAAAAATGTGTGTCATAATCAAGAAACAATATGATAAAACTCATCACAAATTCAACTTTATGCAAAAATATTTCAAAGAACTAATTATTGGCATAAATATTCAAATATATTAGGAAAAAAAAAAGCTACCATATTAGATGTACAAATTCCAACATTAATATTAATGACGAAAAGTAATACAACAAATCGTAGAGAAACGAAGTTAGCCAGAATTCAATTGGACAGACCATAATTTCACGAGCATAACAATCTTTCAAAACATAACAAAACAACTATAAATTACCGTATTTCAACAGCTTGGAAATGCAAAAACCTGATCACTATGAAGCATGAAAATTGTAAATCCTGATTAAGAAACTTGCAATATAGGTTCCATCATACATATCAAACCATAATTATAATTGAACCAATTCAATATGATAAGATCTTGATTTTGAAAGAAAGTTAATTTTATCTACAATCTTAACCATGAAAATCCAAATGCACAGATTCTGATCTAACATTTCAAAGACAATTCAACAATTTAATAATAATTTGCAGGCACTACACCAGAAACCGCCTATGGCAACGCGCGAAAAATGTTGCCATAGCCTTT